CCATCGAGTTTTGCTCCGATACACCCCCAAGAAAAGTTTATAGATTTTGATGCAGATTAAGGATGGAGATTAGTAGATACCCTTTCAATCAAAAATCTCTCCGGAAAAGCAGATTTTTTATTCATTCTATGATTTGTGTATACATCCCGATAACATGCTCGGAAAGTCTATGCGAGGAATCTCATATAACTAAAGGTCAAAGGCGAGAATTCACATACCTAACGATGGACCGGACTATTTCCCATTGTCAAGTTTTACCGAACATTCTTGTCACAAGGTTTTTATTTTTCTTAAGTCAAATCATGCGAAACATGCACAGTATGCAAGTATATTTTCTTCACTCAAGTTCTAGTAGACTTTTTTTTAGGGATTGTACACAAAGAAATAACTAATTCTGACAAGCTGCACATAAACCTATAAGCCCAGGCCCATCAATTGCCCCCCAAAAAGGGCCCATCACAACCCACCCCCAACGCTTGGACGACGAACACCACCACACTGGTCATCCCCCATTTCCGTACCTGTCTGCTCCGTCCGCCTCCCAAGCTTTGCGGCTCCAGGGTTTAGCTAGGGTTCTACCCACGACCACCGCCGCCGCCCGCCCCGCCGCCGCCGCAGCCATGGCCGGCGCCGGCGCCGGAGAGGAGGACGCGGCGTGGGAGCGCGCCATCAGCGCGGCCGTCAAGAGCGCGCCGCTCTCCCCCTTCTCCGCCCCCAAAACCCTAACCCTCGACGGCGCCATCAAGTCCTCCACCGGCCGCCTCCCCTCGCCGGCGCTCTTCGACCGCTTCCCCTCGCTCGAGGAGCTCTCCGTCGCGGGCGCCCGCCTCTCCTCGCTCGCCGGCCTGCCCCGCCTCCCGGCCCTCCGCCGCCTCTCCCTCCCCGACAACCGCCTCGCGGGGGCCGGCTCCCTCGCCGCCGTCGCCGAGTCCTGCGGCGGGACCATCCGCCACCTCGACCTCGGCAACAACCGCTTCGCCGCGGTCGAGGAGCTCGCCCCGCTCGCACCGCTCGGGGTCGAGTCGCTGGACCTGTACCAGTGCCCCGTCACCAAGCTCAAGGGGTACAGGGAGAAGGTGTTTGCGCTGGTCCCCAGCTTGAAGTACCTGGATGGCGTCGATGCCGAGGGCAATGACCGCCTGGAGTCCGATGAGGACGAGGAGGAGGATGAGGATGAGGATGAGGAAGGGGATGAAGAGGGGGCGGAGGACGGCGAAGGGGAAGGGGACGAAGAGGAAGAGGAAGGAGATGAAGAAGAAGATGGCGAGGAAGAGGAGGGAGATGAAGAGGAAGAGGAAGGCGACGAGGTGAGATTTCTCTTCTAATTTCTCTGCTATTTAGAAATCTGTATTGGTTGGCATTTGATAAAATGTTCCTCATATGATGTACTCCTTCAATAACCTCCGCATAGCTGACAACTAGTTAAACGGTTAATGAGTTGTATCGGTAACGTTATAGTACTGCACTGCAGGATTTCCTTTAAAACAATTAATCGTTGCTCATAGTGGTAACAATGGTCATTAGAGAGCACATGATGCTGTTGTTAAGCCATAATGCCATTTAAAACAATGAGTCGTTGCTCATAGCGATAGCGGTAACAATGGTCATTAGAGAACACATAACCCTATTGTTAAGCCACGGTGCCCTGTACAATCTCATTGCTTCATGTGATTGAGTTAGACATAACTTGGTTTGACATTTATATATATTGCGCTTCCGGTGGTATGTTGTGTTGTTAGCTGTACGTCGAGCTATTTGTTTATTTAGTTTGTTTAGTGTTGTATCTCAGCATTCAGGGTAACATCTTGAACAGTTCTTTGTTTTAGTAAGTCTCTTCATTTCCTGAAAACTCAATATAGTGGTAATACTGGTACTATGATGTACATAGAAATGAGTATCTTAAGTGACAATAAATTTGTTAAGTACTATACTGGTATGATGTACATACAAATGAATACCTATAGTGGTGTACTGGTATGATGTACAAATGAATATCTATAGTGGTGTACTGGTATGATGTACAAATGAGTATCTATAGTGGTGTACTGGTATGATGTACAAATGAGTATCTTAAGTGACAATAAATTTGTTAAGTGGTATGCTGGTATGATGTACATACGAATGGATATCTATAGTGGTGTACTGGTATGATGTACATAGAAATGGATATCTATAGTGGTGTACTGGTATGATGTACATAGAAATGAATATCCACAGTGGTGTACTGGTATGATGTACATAGAAATGAATACCACAGTGACAATAAATTTGTCGACTATTTTAGCCAAATGCCAAAAGCCCAAAAGGATAGTTGCATTATTATCGGTGTCAAATATGATTAAATTCTGTCTTATCTTCCTCTTCTTTTGTGATTTATAATAATGTAAAGCAAAACCCACAAATTAGGTTGTTGCTCCACTAGGCTGTAGTATTGTTTTCCATTGCATTTTGAAACTTATTTAATACAAAGTAAGACCTGTATTTTTGCATTCATTTTTGTTGGGCAATCTGCAGTCTGGTCCTAGAATTTGCTTTCTCTTCTTGCCTTGTCTGTACTTTTGTGCTTTAGGACAAACTTCATAGTTCACTGGATATTTGTACAGTTTCTACATGTTTGGTTAAATTGCTGTTTGTCCAGTGTTATGTATTGTGTTTTGTGTGACTTACTTTCTTGTTTGTCTTAAAAAAAAGCCACTTCTACATTTAGTTTTATTTTTGAGACAAAAGGCATACCCCCGGCTTTTCAAGCAACCGAACAGTGTAATACCAGCTACAAGATTAAAGACAGAAAACACCGAAACGGCATTACTACACCCCAGCAACACCACTGCAGTTTCCAGCATCTCAGTCCTTGAACACAATCATAGACTGATCAAAACACAAAACACCCCTAAGTAAGCTCCCTCCTCCTAGGGGAAGCTCTGTTACAGGCACAGGCAAGAAAAATGCCAGACAGAGAACTTGAAATCAGCGCCGCGGTCTTCAAACCACCTTCTTGCACTACTCAGTGATCAGCTTGAAGATTAGCTGCCTCCCGTGGTCCTAAAGAATGACCAATTGCTCTAGTAAGAAAGTAACATGATATAAAGCATCAGTATGTTGGTGAAGGATTTTCTTGTAATATATATGCGGTTGAGTATTCCATAGCCCCCAGCAAACAGCGCTAACCCTCACCACACCACCGTGGCACAATCATCCCCCCTCCCTAAATCGCACCCCAGCAATCACATGCTCAACTGAAGTTGGACATGAATCCCATCCCAGAGTCCCATGGATGACGGCCTAGACTAGAACAGCCATGGGACACAGGAATACATTTATAGTTTTATCAGTACCTTAGCTTATACTAGCAATTTAGGATCTGATGGCAATGCAAGCACACAACATTGTGCTTATTTGCTCTTCTTCAAAGATGGTGACGTTGGGCTCGGTTTACTCACTTGTAGGCCGCTCCTGTTCATTGTCAGAATTTGCATCTACCATGGTTCTTATAGAGGATCTTCTTATAGAGAAGAGAACCATCTCTGTAATTCTTCATCGGCTTCCCTGCATCCTCATTAATATAGGTGACCCAGTAATCGTCCAGCGAACGGCAACTTAAACTTCATTTGTTTGTCATATAACTTGCACACCCTAATTAATTGTATAATAATAGTACACACTACATGCTGCCCACTGCTCTATACTTCTCTCCTAGCTAGTCCAATTGTGTTGTTTATCTGTTTGTCAGCTAATTCAATTGTGCTGTTCTTAGGCTGAAGACGAAGAGGATGAGGCTGAGGACGACGAACCGGAGTCAGGCGCGGCCGAGAAAAGCGAGGTGGTCAACGGAAACAAGTCCGCAGGATCTGCCCTGCCAAGCAAGAGGAAAAGGGACAATGAAGATGGGGCCAACGGCGACAACTGAATTTGATCTCGATTTAAGGTTTGTTGGTTCGTCTTTGCACGCTTTTCAGAGGGTTCCGTGCGGGAGGTGTAGTAGAAGCAAGCAACCTTTGTACTAGTTTTGTGCAAGGATTTTCTGAGAGGTTTTCAAATTTTATTCAAGACGCGCGGTGGATCCTCGGACCTGCTCCTTCATGTGAAATTTCTGGTACTATAAACCGAGGCGCTGGCTCGGATCATGAGAACCGTCTGTCATCATCATCGTCATGGCTGTAATGTAAAGAAGGCACTCCGTTTTTCATTAGCAGCTACACCTAGGGCACCGTTAGAGCGCGACGCCCGCCGGCTCTCTCTGCAGCTGAGAGGATGATGGTTGCCAACAGAACCGGAGCCAGTTTGGGCCTGACATCATCGGCTGAATTTGCCCCCCTTGAAAAGAAAAGTTCAAATGAATTTTGTGATCTTAAAATCGAGTGGAACCATTATTGTCATTGGCTTGTTCATCAAAGCAGCACATTTTTTTTTTGAGGGAAAGCACATAGAGCATCTGCTAACCAAGTGGACGTGGGATAGCGCGTTCAAAAGTGTAGACAGGGCTTGTGATGGTGCAAAATTCTAAAAGAAATTCTGGGCGTACAACGATGAGAAACGAGCTCATAATATATTTTTTTGAGCATCAGTACACAAGCGCTCATATACACGCGCATACACTCACCCCTATGAACACACACACACACTACCCCTATGAGCACCTCCGAAAGACCGAGCCGGCATATCATCTTGAGATTTACGAAGCCACCGTAGGCGCCTCGCCGTCGAGGGGAACGTCTCCTCCCACTGAAAGCACATCGTCAGAAATCCTGAAACAAATCCAGAAATAATGCGAGCACCAGGATTTGAACCCTGGTGGGTTGGGGATACCACTGTCCACCTAACCATCTCAACCACAGGTTGGTTCGCGAGCTCATAATATATTGCCGACCATAGCTGCCTCGCAACAAATCTCCCAAAGCTTCTCGACATAAAAGTGTCAATTTTGTATTAACTTTAGTACGCAGTTATACTAAGATTGAGATACTTATTTTGAGATGGAGGGAGTACTCCCTCCATTCCACAATGTAGTGCGCCCGCGCTTTCCGAGATTCAAGTTTGATCGTAAATTTAACGACCGAGACCGACTGCGGCGGGAGCAAAAATTATATCATCGAATTCACTCTCACCGCAGTCGGTCTCGTTGCCTAAATTTACGGTTAAACTTGGATCTTGGAAAACGCTGCCACACTACATTATGGAATGGAGGGAGTATAAGTTAAATGAAGATAGATAATTTAGACTTGCTAACAATCAAATCAAGAAGAATTAAGAAAAACAACAAAGCAAGAAATATTTTTTTTTTAAAAATAGCAAGAGAAAAAAATGAAGCAAAGTAGGCCCGTAAACTCCGCGTTGGAGACCAAAGCAAGCTGCCGATTTTCCTTTGCACGGTCGGTGAAATTTTATGGCGGGAGAACTTGGCGCCATCCGCGCCGCTTCCCGCCCCGCCGCCGCGTACCTATTTATCGCCCCCCGCAGCCACGGCCGCCCTCAGCTTCAACTCCAACTCCTGCTCGGCTCCTCTCCTTCCATCTCTCGCCGCCGGCCACCGGGAACCCTCCCGTCCGTCGTCGCAATGGCCGCCACCAACGGCGCCGGTGCCGACCCCGTGCACGAGCCTCCCCACAAGATCACCAAGATCGCGCCGCTGCTCAAGGTCAAGAAGCTCTCCGACAAGGCCATCCTGCCGTCCCGCGGCTCCGCCCTCGCCGCCGGCTACGACCTCTCCAGGTACGTGCCCGCTCCATTGCCAGGGACTCTCACCTCCGACCTCTCGCCCATGGTTTTCCTTCTCCCTTGACCGACCTGATCTTCTCTGTCCGGTCTCAGCGCGGTGGAGACGGTCGTGCCGGCGAGGGGCAAGGCGTTGGTGGCCACCGACCTGAGCATCGCCATCCCGGAGGGCACCTACGCGCGCATCGGTGAGACGGGACGCCCGCCTACGTCTTCCCTGGGTCTCGTTTCTTGCGCGCGCCCCAGGTGTTTGATGAAATGCCTATTTCTATTTGGATCTTTGCAGCGCCGAGGTCGGGCCTGGCGCTGAAGCACGCCATCGACGTGGGCGCCGGGGTGATCGACGCCGACTACCGCGGCCCCGTGGGCGTCGTGCTCTTCAACCACTCGGAGGCGGACTTTGCCGTGAAGCCCGGCGACCGCGTCGCGCAGATGATCATCCAGGTGATCGCGACGCCGGAGGTCGCCGAGGTGGAGGACCTCGACGCCACCCTCCGCGGGGAGGGAGGGTTCGGGTCCACCGGCGTCTGAGCTCCCCGCCTTGGTAGATAAACCTAGATAACTGGTCTGTTGTTTAGGATGGTGGTGGAACCCTAGGGGAAGGTACCCACCTTATTGATGGTCGTGTGCGTCCGATGTTAAATGGAATCTCGTGATCTCTTCCGGTTTAGACTTTTAGAGAGAATTTCATGTTGCAAATCCATGAGCGCTGCAAGTGTTAAGATTGTTCTGTGACCTTGGTTTATTTTTGCACTGAACGTGGAATGTTGGAAAAAAACTGGACCAAATCAACATTTCAGAACTCCCATTTGGGGTGTTCAATTTTCCAAAACATGCTACTGTAGCCCACAGAATTCTTTTGCTTTATCTTGTGCCATCAAACACCCTAATCCTACACATTTTCTTTTCTTGCATTTTTTAGAATCCTTGCAATCAAAGAAGACTCAATCCATTCTTAAATTGCAGGACTACAAAAAATAATATAGGGCTGCAATGTCATGCCCATTGGAATTCTAAGAATTTTGGCATCATAGGTAAAACAAGCAGTGAATGGCTCACTGAACCTGTCAAGCATCACAGCACACAGGAAGTGAAGTTCGCATTCCTTATCTTACTCCAGAAACAAACAAATTGATTCTTGGTTCTAACAATTCGGCTTCATTTTCTACGGCTAAAAATATATAGTTGTACACAACAAGGGCAGAAAAATATCACATGTGCGCTGCTTGCTTTCTGGCAACTCTTATAAACAACAAACAACACGCTGACTTGACCAGGCACAATGCAACAACATCATCACCCAGCACCACTCCGTCTCGGCAAACCGAGTTTTCCGTTGGACGCACGCAACAGGAGATCCATGGATTCCATGATACAAAACGGACTGCTTCATCTTCAGGAACCTGTTGAGTTGGCCAACCACCCCCCGACACGCGACGACGAGGAACGCACAACACGGGGAGAACGCGCGCCGGGGTCTCAGACTATCTTCCGGTGTCCACTGAAAGCCCAGATCTGGAAGTTTTCAACAGGCAGCAATGTTTCGACGGTTAGATAGATAGAATGCTGGAGTTGACTAAAGTTTCACTTGCAGTTGCAGGTCTCTCCATTAGAAACAAATAGTAGTACCTCATTGAGAGGGGAAATATGTCACTGAGAAGTAGTACTTTTGCTGATAGCAAAGCAAGAGCTAAACAAACAGATATTGCAAAATAATAAAGCATGCACCCTTTCACTATATGTTAAATGTACCACAATTGTTTCAAAAGATGGACAAAGTCATTAATGTTGGAAATATATAGCATAAGATGTCCTATATTTCCTTTCTAGCCCAACTTAGAGTAATGGCATTGGCATATGTAACCTTTGTCCTACAACAGTTCATGCCATGCAACTGATTAAGTAGTCAACAAGATTGCTTACTTTTTCATATCGAAAGCACATCCCTTACCTTCAAATTTTTGTCCCAGCTTCCTGTACACAATGCACTCCCATCGGATGACAGCCCAAGGCAGCTTATACGGCCTTCGTGAGAGTTTTGGAGAGTCCCCAAATTAAGCACCATCTGAGTCGTTTTTAAAAGCATTCACAGGTCAACCACAGTTTTAATAGTATAGGCAATAAATAAAATGGATGATTCATGATATGCGGCAGATGTTCTATATTTCACCAAACGCCACAAGAGTAGTCCTAATAGGCTAATAGCTTGAGCTCATAAAAGCTAGAATATGTAAGTTTTTTGTGGGCACTCTCTCTTCCTGATCAATTATAGGAAGGAAACTGAAGGCTCACAAGGCACCAAGGGGTCTGAATCTAAAAATAAAAGCATGGCCGAAAGAGGCGCTGCAAAAAACTGAAAACTAACTGTGGCTCGAACCACGAGGTCGCAACCTTCGACAACTAGCCTAGCCAAACAGCATGGCTAGTTCACTGGCCACTGGGGATAAACCCATCAGGTCCAGAGGGTTCTAACAGTATGGGATCAACTTGCAGTAAAGCCTTGTGTTGGCAGCTTGGTGCAGTCTAAACTCTATTCTCTGAAGCATTTTTGGCCTATAGCAAGAATCTACAAGGTGATCTACAACAACATTACTAATGCATGAATTGCATATAGAGATGCTGCAGAAACTAATGCCATAAGATGGGATGCGTACTCAAGTATACCATAGCCAAATGCAAATAACGCGTTATGTGTTATCATGATTGTTATTTTTTTAGGCATATGTCAAAGGGGAAATGCAGCTAGTTCTCTGTAACTGATATTCTTTTCCAATGTGGTTAATTTTCACTTGATAATTGCAGCTTTAAAATCACATCAGAATGGCTAAACTATTGCTGGACTGTAACGAAGTGAAGCATATACAATTTAAAGATCAATCTAGTGGTGTTACTAACCAGGATTAACATTTCCGAACTTTGACCTGATCTTTCTATGGTAAATAAATTGTATACTCAAACTATGTTTCCTTTTCAACTGTATGAAATTTAGTTGTAGCTTCGCAGTAAAACTTGATCAGTCTTATTTTTACATGTCTGGTTTTCATCCCATTATCTAAGCTGCGAGATCAAATTCATGGGAAATGGGTAAAATGCACACCTCGGCAAGAAGCGTGTCCCACACATAACAGTCACCATTAGAGTATCCAGCAAAAAGAAGCCTTCCTGATATGGAAAAGGCGACAGATGTAACAATAGGGAGCTCATTATCATTTCTATCGGGCTCCCGATTGTACACTTGAAGTTGATGCCCTGTTCTCATGTCAAATAATCTGCATGTACCATCATCTGAACCAGTACCGAACCTCTGACCATCAGGGAAGAACTTGACACTGTTAATGTCGCCCTCATGTCCATGATATGTCCGAACTGCCCGACTTGCAATCCTGAGATCCCATAGCCTTACAGTTGTATCACATGAACCCGAGATAAACATATTCGTGTTTAACGAGTTGATGGACAGACTGAAAGGGATAAAAAAAAAAGATCAGAACACTATGAGTATGGACATAAAAAGTATAGCAACTTATAAAGCTGTGAAACAAGCATGCGGCCGCGTTGCCAAGATATCACACCAGCTACTTGATTAATAATTAGACCATTGATGATCTATATCAACAACAATTGACAGAAGTCTCACTGACCAAACGCTGCATGTGCCACCATGCAGTAACATTTCCTACTGATTATTAATTTATTACTAATCACAGCCAGCCCTTAAAAGTAAACTTGCACCGCCAAAAGGTGAAACATATTCTTTCTTTACAAATACGGCCCAGTCAGACAAGGTGTAAGATTAATGGGTGATGCTTTCAAATCAATACCATGGAACTTTGTTCAACTCAACATAATCAATGAAACTTGAACAGTATCACATTGTTTTGGTCATAAAATAAGAACCAATATATCACGACAGCAAGCATGATGTTAAATTGAATGCCATAAGAAAAAGGCAATTACCTTAACACATCAGCTGTATGCCCTGATGGAAATTCACCTCCAAAGATTGATATCCTCTGGCCAGTAGTAACATCCCACAGGACACACGTTTGGTCACCTGAGCCTGTAATCAAGCGGGTTTCCTGGTCTGGGACATACTGACAGGATGAAACATAGCCTTTGTGTCCAGTAAGTACTCTTGATACTGGCATGTTCCCATCTCTGTCTGCTTGTGAGCTAAGGTTGAATATAGAGCATGCACTATCAAGACCGCCACAAGCAACGGATTGACCATTGGGTGCAAAAGCACATGTCATCACCCATGGACAGTGTAGCTTTATGGCATGTGTTTTCTGACTCGTTAAAGCATTCCATACAATTAGTCTTCCATCTTGTGAGGCACTAACTATCCAGTTCTTCTCAGGGGTCCAATCCAGAGAATATACCTGTGTTGAGTCAGAGATAGTACTTAGTACTAGTTATAAAACCATGAAGCCATTAAACATATCAACATAAGCAACTTTGGGAGGTACTGTCCTAGAAAGAAATCCAAATCGCTCAACAAACAAAACAAATTGACGGAGCATATAATTAGGCATGATAGAGCAGTTCAAAGGACCAACCGATCAAAAATTCTTAGCACCAGGGTTCTTTCTGTGAATTGCAATGCTCTAAAAATTGGTAACTAGTAACAACCCGCATACCCGTTCTCAAAACTCGAGTTCTTCCACGCTACATATTTTTTATTTCAGCTGGTGTCAAACAATAACATGCCCTCAAATAAAAAGAGGATTCGCACAAAAGGACTACAGGACAGCATAGCGGTCATATTTCAAAACAAAACAGAAATAATTACCAAGGAAATGCTATTATGGAGAGGGATTAGGGCTGTTTAAATCAGGCCACATGGGTTCACCAACAGGCTCAACCTTGAGCTTTGGTGATTGCAAGTGGCACATTCCATGTGGGACATCAATGAGCATCTCACAGATTGTTACTGTTGGTACTGAAGCTTTGGTTGTACTATTGACTCATTTACAAGGGTATGGAACAATGGAAGGAACGGATTCGAGTAGACTGCTCATACCCATTTCTCACTTGGATTTAAGAAAATTCTAAATCAAGTAAATCATCAAAATTGCAATTCAATCCCAACTACACATTCTACCCATAGGCATGATTACCTGATTAGGAAAGCAGAGCCAAAATAGTAAACTAAGAACCACGGCATGCTAAATACTTCAGTGCATCCATAATTTTGCGAGAGACTTGGCTCAAGAGCAGGCCAGAGATTTGATACTTTGCTAGATAACACTGCAATTTTCTTGGACCACGACAGCGATAACAAAATCTTTATAAAACGTAAAATTATGCCCAACGACCTTGAAAACTCGACCCACAAGCACCAGCACCGAGGGCTTTTTATTTAATAAGAAGCGAGGCACCTGCGGAGATGGCGCCTCGAACGCGGGTGGGCGAGCTCACAGACGTGGGCCCTAGCCAAGTGAACACTGCTCGGTTTCCTTAACACGTAAAATTACGCGCATCTTTTCGGTTACCGCCACGAGTATGCTAAAAAGACCAGTTTGCCCTAA